GCACTCCCTAGGATGGAGGGATTACCCCAAATGGCTTTCTAAATGGGGTGGGGAGATCTCCTTATGTGCTTTCAACATACACTGAAAACACTTCCTTGTTTTTCAGATTTGCAGTGCTGACACATCCTTTCTGGTTCAGGCTTGACACCTCACACTTGTTGATTATTTTTATGCTGAAAAGTAGATTGGGAAAATCCAGAAGTTTACTTGGTGTTAGTGCCTCACAATCTTGCCAACTTCTTAAGCTTATTATGGCGATAATCTTATTATGAAGAGTTAGGCCAGCTCTTGTTGGTCTTCAGAGCAGACCTATTGAATCAATTGACAATTTGACAAACCAGCATAAACCTAATCGATTCAATTGGCCTCCTTTAGTCAGGCTTAAAAATAAGGTTTAGAGTTACTCATGCTCCCTGAAGTCCTTGGGACAAATTAGGACTACATATTCAGTACATGTGCTTTCCAGAAATAATTGCATTGTTTCTTCTGCCAATATGTTTGTGTGTGTGTGTGTGTGTGTGTGTGTGTGTGTGTGTGTGTGTTTTGGGTTGTTGGGATGGATTTGAAACAATTCCCAAAGTGGTATGCTTCAGTGTTTCCAGGTTTCCACAGCACAGCATGAAGTTGTGGATAAAACTGAGGGAGCAGATCTGCAGTGCTATGGAAGAAAAGAAAATACTGTTTACCTAGATTGGTACTATTCAAAGCAGTGGTCCATGGGCCATTATTACAAGTGGTCCCTGGAAGGTTTCCAGGAAGGAAAGAAAGAGTTGGGTCACAAATATGGCATCAGTTATTGATACACGGGGAGAAATCAATGCAGGTTCCCTAGTCACACCTAATAGTGAGAGAGACAACTATTTGATGTGATGAAATTACAGTATGACTCCACTGTCTGAGGGATTGGTATCAGTGGTTTCATTTATCCATATCTGACAAAAATGTCCCCTTTAGACATTTTTAGATCTTCCCATACAACTCTACAGTATTTTGGGCCAGAAGTCCTTCATTTCAATATGGTGCACTATTAGTTTCATGTATCCATGTGAAGTCTGGGTAACTTCACATAGATACAATGAAACTTGGGGAATGTATCCCTTGTGGATACAGAGGTCATACTTTATTGCTACAGTCGATGTGCCTCTGGGATTTTGTTTCTTAGCTGCCAAAATAACTTGGCTGGCTTTGTGCAGTGTACTGTGTGCTTTCACAACTTGGGAGAGCACTAAGTGCTTTTCTGCCTCAGGCTTTGGCTCTCCTCAGAATCTCAAAAAGATTGGTGGCAACCACAATTGTGGGCAAGTTACCAAAGCTATGGACAAAGCCTTATGAATCGCTGTCACTAAGTTATTGTTGCCACACACACACACACCCCTGCAAAAAAAAAAAAACCCATTAAGGTAAAGTAACACATAGTCTGGTCCATGAGGTCATGAAGAGTCGGAAATGACTGAACAAATGAACAACAACACATAGAAATGCTAGGTCTGTTTTCAGAAGCTATGCTGAAATTCTCCTCCTGCTGCAATTTGAGGCTCAAATGAAGTCTTGGCCAGAAGATCTCTGTGGTTTCCTATATTTATTTTTTTTGGGGGCAATTTGACTTTCTCATTGAAGTGTGAGGACTAAAATTCCCTCATTGCACCCCTTTTCCAGTCCTTATAACACCCTCGCCTGAATGCAAGATGCATCTGGATGTATAAGGAGAAAATCTTTAGCTAGATCTACATTGCCAAATAATATGATCTTAACTGATTATATGATCAGTGTAGTCTGAACTGCATTATAATTAGTGTAGAACCATATAGTTCAGCTGAATTGCTTTATTAGTGTAGAACCATACAGTGCAGTCTGAACTGCATTATGATCAGTGTAGACCCATCTTGTGTCATTTGAACTGCATTATTATTTGTGTAGAATATAAAATGAAGTCTAAACTGCATTATGATTAGCACAGGCTCATATAATGCAGTCTGGGCTGTGTAATGATTAGAATGCATGGTGATCAGTGTAGACCCATATAGTGCAGTCTGAAAAGCATTATGATACATGTGGACCCAGATAGTGCAGTCCAGCTGCGTTATGATTAGTGTAGACCCATATAGTGCAGACTGGACAGCACTAAGATCAGTATAGAGTAGACCCATATAGTGCAGTCTGGACTGCATTATGATCAGCATAGACCCATAGTGCAGTCTGGACCACGTTATGATTAGTGTGGACCCATATAGAGTGCAGCCTGAACTCAGTGTAGACCCATATAGTGCAGCCTGAACTGCATTATGATCAGTGTAAACCCATATAGTGTAGTCCGGACTGCTTTATGATCAGTGTAAATCATATAGTGTAGTCTGGAATGCGTGATGATCAGTGTAAACCCATATAGGGGTTTGGACTGCGTGATGATCAGTGTAAACCCATACAGTGTAGTCTGGACTGCGTTATGATCAGTGTAAACCCATACAGTGTAGTCTGGACTGCGTTATGATCAGTGTAGACCCATATTGTACAATTTGAACTACATTAGGATTAGTGTAGACCCACATAGTGCAATCTGGACTGCATTAAGATCAGTGTAGATCCATATAGTGTAGCCTTGACTGTTATCATTAGTTTAGACTCATATAGTACAGTCTGGACTACATTATGATCAGCGTAGACCCATATAGTGCTGTCTGGACTGCGTTATGATCAGTGCAAACCCATATAGTGTAGTCTGGACTGCGTTATGATCAGTGTAGACTCATATTGTGCAATTTGAACTACATTAGGATCAGTGTAGACCCATATAGTGCAGTCTGAACTGCATTATGATCAGTGTAAACCCATATAGTGTAGTCTGGACTGCTTTATGATCAGTGTAAACCCATATAGTGTAGTCTGGACTGCATTATGATAACTGTAAACCCATATAGTGTAGTCTGGACTGCGTTATGATCAGTGTAGACCCATATTGTGGAATTTGAACTACGTTAGGATCAGTGTAGACCCACATAGTGCAGTCTGAACAGCATTATCATCAGCGTAGGCACATATAGTGCAGTCTGGACTGCATTAAGATCAGTGTAGATCCATATAGTGTAGCCTTGACTGTGTTATGATTAGCGTAGACCCATATAGTGCAGTCTGGACTGCATTAAGATCAGTGTAGATCCATATAGTGTAGCCTTGACTGTGTTATCATTCATTTAGACCCATATAGTGCAGTCTGGACTGCATTAAGATCAGTGTATATTCATATAGTGTAGCCTTGACTGTGTTATCATTAGTTTAGACTCATATAGTACAGTCTGGACTGTGTTGTGATCAGGGTAGACCCATATAGTGCTGTCTGGTCTGGATTATGATCATTGTAGACCCATATAGTGCTGTCTGGACTGGATTATGATCAGTGTAAACCCATATAGTGCTGTTTGGACTGGATTATGATAAGTGTAAACCCATATAGTGCTGTCTGGACTGCATTATGATCATTGGAGACCCATATGGTGCAGTCTGGACTGTGTTGTGATCAGTGTAGACCCAAGTAAGTAAGTAAGTAAGTAAGTAAGTAAAGTAATTAAGTAAGACCCATATAGTGCCGTTTAAACTGCATTATGTGGGTCTCTACACGGACCATCTGTCGTAATCTTTGTATCTAGAAATACAAAGTCTGTCACAGCCTCCGCATTTTCTCCCTCTATTTTCCAGTTGTCAATCATTCTTGTTGCCATAATCTTGGTTTTTTTGATGTTTAGCTGCAACCCGGCTTTTGCGCTTTCTTCTTTCACCTTGATTAGAAGGCTCCTCAGCTCCTCCTCGCTTTCGGCCATCAGGGTGGTGTCATCTGCATATCTGAGGTTGTTAATGTTTCTTCCAGCAATTTTCACCTCAGCTTTGCATTCATCAAGCCCCGCACATCGCATGATGTGTTCTGCATACAAGTTAAAAAGGTTGGGTGAGAGTATGCAGCCTTGCCGTACGCCTTTCCCAATCTTGAACCAGTCTGTTGTTCCGTGGTCAGTTCTTACTGTTGCTACTTGGTCCTTATACAGATTCCTCAGGAGAGAGACAAGGTGATTTGGTATGCCCATACCACCAAGGACTTGCCACAATTTTTTATGTCCCACACAGTCAAACGCTTTAGAATAGTCTATAAAACAGAAATAGATGTTTTTCTGAAACTCCCTGCCTTTCTCCATTATCCAGCGGATATTGGCAATTTGGTCTCTCGTTCCTCTGCCTTTTCTAAACCCAGCTTGAACATCTGACAACTCTCGCTCCATGTATTGCTGGAGTCTTCCTTGCAGGATCTTGAGCATTACCTTACTGGCATGAGAAATAAGGGCCACTGTAAGTTTGAGCAGTCTTTTGCATTTCCCTTTTTTGGTATGGGGATATAAGTTGATTTTTTCCAGTCTGATGGCCATTCTTGTGTTTTCCATATTTGCTGGCGTATGACATGCAGTTTGAACTCTACACGGACCATACAATGCAGGCCAAACTTTGTGGAATGCCTATGCCTTTCCTATGGCCTCGCCTTTCCCATAGAAGATGGAGCTGTAGAATGACCTCACTGGGACCCTTTCCCAGCCCTCAGACGCCCTCACCTGGAAAGAAAGAAAGACAGACAGACCCTGCTGAAGGTACTGTGAATGCGTACTTGTGAGGAGAGGGAGGGAAAAAAAGGCGCCAGGAAGAACGGGGCTAGTGCTGATAGCTCTTTGAAGACCCCGTCTACGAAATTTCTCCTGTTGAGTCAAAAAGGGGCGTAATTAAAGCCAGTATGTTTCAAATGTAATTGCTGGTGGGAAGCAAGCCGGGCGCGAAGAAGAAGCAGAAAAAGCAGCAGCAGCAGCCAAGGCGCCCGCTGGCTTCTGCTTTGAAGCAACTGCTGGGAAGTCACCTGGCTCGCGCGCTCCAAGCTCCGCCCCTTTCTCTCCGCGAGGCGAAGGAGGCAGCGTGCCTTTCCAGGGGGGCGAAGAGAGAGAGAGAGAGAGAGAGAGAGAGAGAGAGGGCGCGCGCGAGGAAAGGAGGGAGGGAGGGAGGGCGCGCGCCCCCGCGGCCGCCGAGTTGGCGAAGATGCGCGAGGCGTCATGAATCCATTCATGAACTCTCCGCCAGCGCGGGAAGAGTTGCGTTCCCTCCAAAGGAAAAAAAAAAGAAAAACTCTCCTCTCCCTTTCCTTTTCATCTCTTCTTCTTCTTCTTCTTGTGGCTCTGGTCACTGGGGCTGATTAATGAATCATGAGGCGGCGGCTGCTGCTGCTGCTAATGCATTTATCTGGGGCAGACCGCGCTGCAGCCTCCCGCCTCAACCGCGCGAAGAAGTCGTGAGTGAGGGAAGAAGAAGGCGAGGAGCCGGCAGGAGTCCGGCAGGGAGCCTCTTCCAGCCTCGGCGGCGGCGGACCCTCGCTCTCCATGGCGCCCGGGGAGGTAGGTCAGGCTTGTTTCTGCCTCTCGAGGTGCCTTCAAGCGCATCCTCTCACTGCCCTAGACACCCCAGGATCCCATCTCCAGATTATCTTCTTATCTCAGGTTGTCTGGCAATGGAGACTCGTATAATCTAGTCTAGAGCCCCTTCCACAGTTTATCTCATCCCAGGTTGTCTGGCAGTGGAGACTCATATAATCCAGGTTAGAACAGAAAATCCGGAATCAGATCCTGGGATATAAGACTATGCAGATCCAGCCTGAGTCTAGAGTCCTATCCACACAGTTTATCTTCTTATCCCAGGTTGTCTGGCAGTGGAGACTCATATAATCCAGTTTAGATCAGATTATCTGGGATATAAGGCTATACAGATCCAGCCTGAGTCTAGAGACCCTTTTACACAGCTTATCTTCTTATCTCAGGTTATCTGGCAGTGGAGACTCATATAATCCAGTCTAGAGCCCCTTCCACACCGTTTATCTTCTTATCTCAGGTTATCTGGCAGTGGAGACTCATATAATCCAGTCTAGAGTCCCTTCCACACCGTTTATCTTCTTATCTCAGGTTATCTGGCAGTGGAGACTCATATAATCCAAATTAAATCGGATTAGCTGGGATCAGATATTGGGATATAAGACTATACAGATCCAGCCTGAGTCTAGAGACCCTTTTACACAGTTTATCTTCTTATCCCAGGTTGTCTTGCCGTGGAGACTCCAGTTTAGATTACATTGTCTGGGATCAGATACTGGAATATAAGACTATGGAGATCCAGCCTGAGTCTAGAGACCCTTCTACACAGTTTATCTTTTTATCCCAGGTTATGTGACAGTGGAGACTGATATAATCCAGGTTACATCAGATACTGCGATATAAGGCAATGCAGATCTAGCCTGAGTCTAGGACCCCTTCTACACAGTTTATCTTTTTATCCCAGGTTGTCTGGCAGTGTGGACTCATATAATGCAGATTATCTGGGATCAGATACTGGGATATAAGACTATCCAGATCTAGCCCGAGTCTAGAGTCCCTTCCACACAGTTTATCTTATCTCAGGTTTCTGGCAGTGGAGACTCATATAATCCAGGTTAGAACAGCCCACTGACATGGGCTGGTCCTTGAGGTCATGCAGAGTAGAAACGACTGAACTGAACGAATGAACAACAACAAAGAACAGAAAATCTGGGATCAGATCTTGGGATATGTAGGTCCAGCCTGAGTCTAGAGCCCCTTCCAGACAGTTGATCTTCTTATTCTAGGTTATCTGACAGTAGAGACTCATATAATCCAATTTAAATCAGATAATTTGGAATCCAATCCTGGGATATAAGGCAGTTCAGATCCAGCCTGAGTCTAGAACCCCTACCATACAGTATATCTTCTTATCCCAGGTTGTTTGGCAGTGTGGACTCATATAATCCAGTTTATCTGGGATCAGATACTGGGATATAAGACTATCCCGATCCAGCCTGGGTCTAGAGTCCCTTCCACAGTTTATCTCATCCCAGGTTGTCTGGCAGTGGAGACTCATATAATCCAGGTTAGAACAGAAAATCCGGAATCAGATCCTGGGATATAAGACTATGCAGATCCAGCCTGAGTCTAGAGTCCTATCCACACAGTTTATCTTCTTATCCCAGGTTGTCTGGCAGTGGAGAGTCATGTAGTGCAGGTTAAATCAGATAATCTGGGATCAGATCCTGGGATGTAAGGCAGTACAGATCCAGTCTTAGTCTAGGGCCCCTTCTACCCAGTTTATCTTCTTATCCAGGATTATCTGGCAGTGGAGACTCATATAATCCAGGTTAAATCAGATAATATGGGATTAGATCCTGAGATGTAAGGCAGTTCAGATCCAGCCTGAGTCTAGACCCCCTTTCAGAAAGCTTATCTTCTTATCCCAGTTTATCTGGCAGTGGAGATTCATATAATCCAGGTGAAATCAGATAATCTGGGATCAGAACCTGGGATATAAGGCAGTGGAGATCCAGCCTGAGTCTAGAGCCCCTTTCAGACAGCTGATCTTTTTATCTCAGGTTACCTGGTAATGTGGACTCATATAATCAAGGTTAAATCAGATAATCTGGGATCAGATCCTGGAATACAAAGCAATGCAGATCCAGTTTGAGTCTAGGGCCCCGTCTACACAGCTGGTTGTCTTATCCCAGGTTATCTGGCAGTGGAGACTCATATAATCCAAGTTAAATCAGCTAATCTGGTATCAGATTCTGGGAGGCTCCTTCCTCACAGCTGAATAAAATCCCACACTATCTGCATTGAACTGGGATATATGGCAGCGTGGACTCATAACCCATTTCAAAGCAACTATTGTGGGTTCTTCTGCGTTGATATTCTGGGTTATATTGCTGTGTGGAAAGGCCCTGAGTCTTGGGCCCCTTACACACAGCTGTATAAAATCCACACTGAACTGGATTATATCGCAGTGTGAACTCAGGACCCTCTCGCACAGCCGTATAATCCAGAATATCAAGGCAGAATAACCCACAATATCTGCTTTGAACTGGAATTTTATTTATTTATTTATTTATTTATATCCCACTTTATCGCTCTATACGGCGGCTCACAATCAAAAACATTACAACTTCAAGTATACAAACATACAATAATAAAGGAGTATATCATATATGATTATATATGATCAGTAGTAATTATATTTAATATATTAGTATTACTATATTATATTGTATTATTGGTATTATATTGTATTGCATTATAATATTATCAATATTATATGTATATACAATATGTTGTATTATTACCATAGCACAATATTAGTATTACATATTACTATATTGTACTATACCACTATATTGCAATATTATTAGTGGTATTACATGTAATATATCATATACAATTATTTTATTATATATTATTATATTGTACGATATTATTATGCCATAATATATATAATACACTACCAGTATATTATACTATTAGTATTAATATTAGCATACCAGTAATAATAATACAATATTATAATTATAATTATATATTTATATTACATGTAATATTGCTAATACTATTATAATATAATGGTATAGTGCAATATAGTAATACATAATACTGATATTGTACTATGCTAATAATATAATATATTGTATGTATATATATCATGTAAGCTGCTCTGAGTCCCCTTCGGGGTGAGAAGGGCGGCATATAAATGTCGCAAATAAATAAATAAATAAATAATATATTGTACCATATCATAAGTTGTAGTATTTATAATATATATATTAGTAAAGGTTTACCTAGTATTATTATATTACAATATCTGGTTTGAACTGTGTTATCTGAGTCCACACTGCCATATATCCCAGTTCAAAGCAGATAATGTAGGATTTTTTCAGCTGTGTGCTAGAACAGTTATTAACTGGAAAGCATTCAGTCTTAGAAGAATATTATTCACTGAATGTATTGAACAGAACAATCCTTGATTACACATTCACCTCTAGAAGGGAGCTAGACACTAAATGACATTCGTTCCTAGGACGCTATTATATACTGAATACTCTGTTTCGTTGATAGAATAGAGTTATTAACCGAAAAGCTTTGACTCCTAGAAGAGTGTTATTTATTGAATGTATTGCACAGCAGTCAGTAATAGAAATAGGACACTACAGATTAGATAAGACACTAAATGTACTTAGTATTGTGGATTATCTGCCTTTATAATTCTGGGTTATATGTGTTAGGGAAATCTCCAAAATAGCAGCATATTTAAAAATACAAGACAGGATATTTAGCTGAGTGGTTGGCTCACCGCAAGCAGAGGGCGTAGTATTGTGGCTGTAAAAGAATTCTTGAGCTAAAGATGCAAAGATGCAGAGTTCAGTCCTTGAAGTTTCAAAGGGGGATATATATATATATATATATATATATATATATATATACACACACACACACACACACACACACACATACACACACACACACACACACACACATAAACATACACATAAACATTTTTTTATTCAAAAGATTCCACACAACTGAATAAAACCCCCTATTTTCTGCTTTGAACTGGAATATATGGCAGTGTGGACTCAGATAACCAAGTTCAAAACAGATATTGTGGGATTTTCTGCCTTGGTATTCTGGGTTATATGGTTGCGTGGAAGGGCCATAGGTCTAAGCTTCTCTCTAGCTCCATTACTTTTAAGGTAGAAACCTCAAAATACTCCATTTTCTCAATCATGCAAAGTAGAGAGAGGTCTGAATGAAAAGGAGGAGGAAGAAGAAGTGTGACTATGAGATCTTAAAGGAAAGGACATGAATCCGAGGGTGGGAGGAGAAAAGAGGGAGAAAAAACAGACATTAAGGAGGGAGGAATTCTCTCAGCCTAACTTAATGCTGTCTAGTTGCTTTTCATTGAGGACTGGAAACTTGAGCAGTGTGTGATTGAATTCAAACAATATGACTGTGTTGAAGGATCCTAGGAAATTGGTTTGTTGTTCCTGATTTAATTTTGGTTCTCTCTTCTCAACCTACCCCACTTCCCATATATCACATTGACAAAACAGTGGATTTTAAATATCCCCCTTGGGAGGAAAAGGAAAAGATTGATTTCAAACTGATGTCGTGATTGCTAATTTGTTTTATAATAAAGGCCCCTTTACTATCTGCTTATCCCAGATTATCTGGTAGTGGAGACTCATATGTGTGGTGGAGGATTTTAAAATCCTTCTTTGGAGGATTTTAGGGTAAAGGTAAAGCTTTCCCCCTGACATAAAGACTAGTCGTGCCCAACTCTGGAGGTTGGTGCTCATCCCCATTTCTAAGCCGAAGAGCCAGCATTGTCCGTAGACACCTCCAAGGTCATGTGGCCAGCATGACTGCATGGAGCACTGTTACCTTCCTGCCTGAGCAGTACCTATTGATCGACTTACATTTGCATGTTTTCGAACTGCTAGGTTGGCAGAAGCTGGGGCTAATAGCAGGAGCTCACCCCGCTCCCCGGATTCAAACCGCCAACCTTTTGGTCA